AGTCGTCTGGGAAATAATTTAAAGCAGACGACTGAAATTTCAGTCGTCTAATCCCTAAACATAACCCCTAAACTTTATTCTCTAATTAAACACTTCGAAACATCAATTTAAACTTGAAAAATGTTTACTATACACAGAAATAAACACATAGAGGTCAAATTAATTTTTTCAAAAAAACATTTCAGCTTTTCAAAATCTAGCCCTAAGATTACATACAATACTACAACATATGTTTGCCAAACCCTTAAACCAAAGAATATCATGATTCACTACTTCCACTCATCTATGCTAACAACAAATCAACTTTATCATTTCTTAATTTATATCACTTATAAATGTTTATAATTACATGTTTTTAATTTTTCACTCATCAAAATATTTTGTACAGAATTTATAAATTATTTTTAAGATTCAATCATCCAGACAACTAACATTTCAATCGTCCAGACGACTGAAAAGTAACTCAGTCCGACCCAGACATCTTACTGGGGTTATATTCGTAAAAATGTCTTCTGTTTTTTTGTTTGGCCACAGAGCACTATCCTGTAATTTCATAGCCATTTTAGGTTAGATTTGCATTTGATTCAAGTTGGGGTTTAGTATTGAGATTAAAACCAAGTTATGGGTTAGTTTTGGCAAAAACCTCTTGAGTAAATTAAACTTTAATTAAACAATCCACATCAATTTTTTTTTCCTTTTCAACATCTCCAGTGAATTCATTCAACTATTGAAGAAACAATTCTGCAGCCTTGTTGTATATAGTCTTCCCACTTGCCCGTTAAAATTGAAAATCTTCATATAATTATACAGATTTTATGAATATGCCCAGTATTAAAATTTGAAGTTTTTAAGTGGGTATTACTCATTTATATGTTCAGTTACATTTAATATCATATATTCTTTTTAAAAAGCTCAAGTTCTATATTTTTATATGTTCTCTTCAATTAATTTTTTTATTTAAATGTAATTGTATATTTTATAAAACAAATATCTAAAAGATCTGAAGTCATCATATTTTCGACTACAAACCGAAAGAAGCTTAAAATATACTCTAATTTATTTTGACTCCAACAAGCATTTCCTATTTAAGACCCAAATGGGCTTATAACCTAATCAACCACCTAAGTTAAATAACTAGACACTAAAACATACAATAAAAACGTAATTCATAACCTCTGGATATGTCAACTGAGACGGCGGAGAGAACTCTCCGGCAACCGTTGGTGGATCCTACGGACTCTGAGCGAAAACCTATGAGGGACGTGGGATCACTCGAGAGCATCTTAACGGACAGTAGCCTTCCGTCACGGAGGCGCTTGTACTTAGGTGCGTGCATAGAGGGGAAACTTCTTTTCCGGTTGGCACTTCCGGCGATATTTGTCTATTTGCTCAACAGCGGAATGGGTATCTCGACCCGCATCTTTGCCGGACATCTCGGTAGTCAGGAACTCGCCGCCGCGTCCATCGGTGACAGCTGCTTCAAGCTCGTCTATGGCCTCATGGTACGTTTTACATCATTACATGATCCTGCAGACTAGTACACATATTTGGAGGCACGTTGATATTGGTTATATTAATAACTGTTTTTCTTCTTCAACAATTTCCCATAAATATATATATACACATGTATATATATGCGAATTATAATAATTATTTATAGAGGGGCTGGATATGAGAATTTGGAAGCCTTAAACATTTATTAGAACTTTTATAAAAACTTTTTTTTTTCATAATCTAGAAATCTATTTTTAATAATTAAAACATACAAAAAAATTGGGAGAAGATACCAATGTATTATTGGGTTCGGCCCAAATCCGCTCTTCAAATTAGTGTTAGATGCTTAGACCATCCATTGGAGGTTCTAATTCATTGGAGTTCTAAATAGTTATATGTGTATATATGTATTATATATATATGTGTAGTTATGGGACCTATAAAATAGTGTAGAACTTTCCTTTGAAAGTTCTAAAAACAATAGGATAGAATTCTATTGGAGATGGTCTTAGCAGTCAGCGACTCAAGATCTATGACGTAAAACAATTAATCGAACGCTTAAATTATTAGTTATTCGGCATATACTTTATCAATTATAACCAGTACATTACATTTATATAAAACATTCATGATTTACAAATAATACTATTAATATTGTTCGCTATCATAAGATGTTCTACTATAAAATATTATAATTTATAAATATTAATTTATTATTATATTATAATTATGTACGCGGTTTATAAAGTAAGCGCCACCGTAACGAATTTTAGAACACTGATTAAAATACTACCATCATGACTCTAATAGAGCATTCTTTTACATCGAAAAGTTGTAGCAACTAAACATTATATATGATTAGTTGATTACTAGTCAAATTATTACTTTTCTGTTTACAATAAATTTATGATACATATAGCTTTCCTGAAAACTTGAAGATTAGAAGGAGAAAAGGCAAAGTTCGAACTCTTTTTATTACTATAGTTTTATGACCCGAACCACTAAGCTTCTTTTTTTTTTTGAAAATACCAGTAAGCTATTTTTGTTCTTGTTTTTGTAAAATAACTGACAGTAAGCATAAATATTATCCTAACTGCAAGCTTGCGTTTGCTATTTTTTCCATCCAGGACTGAGTTTGGTTATCCGCAACTACTTTCAAAACATATATTTCCTGGAAATCGTTTTTTGGTAAAGATATTTCCTGGAAATTGTTAGGTCCCAAAGACTTAAGAAATACTTTTCTGCAATTTTCCTCTTCTTCTTCCCATTGAAAATACAACTACACCAATATATAAGAGCAAATCGTAAACTCATTCCCCCAACTATCACAAGTTACAAGTGGAGATGATCCCATTAATAATGGACAACGATGTCATGACTTGTTATGATCTTATCAGAAATCTAATCAATTGAACCACTATTGTAAACCAAATATGTGTATAAGATTCAAACTTCCGAGTACAAAATAAAATAAACATTCACTTTATTATTAAGATGTCTAATGATTCTTTTGTTTTCGTTGATTTGAATTTGTAATGATTGGACGTTTAGAAGAAGAAAAACTATAACGATTTTGGGTTAGTACTTAGTAAAATTTGTTCTATAATATAATCATTTTTAAAAAATTCCTCATGTAAGAATTCTCGTACGCTTCGGTATAGAAGTCAAAACAATATTATTAGTAGATGGATCAATTATTTAAAAATCTAGATAATGATAATATATGTGACGTCCAACAAAAAATATAAGCATACGGTTAAACCTTTTTGGCTTTTTATGTTGGTTGTACAGTTAGGTATGGGAAGTGCGGTGGAAACACTATGTGGACAAGCGTATGGAGCCCACCGATATGAGATGCTTGGGATTTATCTCCAGAGAGCAACGATCGTCCTCGCTCTGGTTGGCTTGCCCATGACAGTATTGTACACCTTCTCTTACCCGATTCTAATATTACTTGGCGAGCCAGAAACAGTGTCGTATAAAGCATCTCTATACATCGCTGGACTTATCCCTCAAATATTCGCCTTCGCCATCAATTTCACGGCTCAAAAATTCCTTCAAGCCCAAAACGTGGTGACCCCCAGCGCGTACATCTCAGCCGCGGCCCTCCTCCTCCAGATCTCGCTGACATGGACAACCATTTACGTGATGGACCTTGGTCTTATGGGCATTGCTTATGTTCTTACTATTTCTTGGTGTTTCATAGTTATAGCCCAGACTTTGTATATTATAACAAGTCCAACGTTCGGACGCACGTGGACTGGTCTTAGCTGGAGATCGTTCCATGGTCTTTGGAGCTTTTTCAAACTCTCAGCTGGTTCCGCTGTTATGATATGTCTGGAACTGTGGTATTCGCAGATTCTTGTTCTTCTTGCTGGTATGCTCAATGATCGTGTTCTCTCTCTAGACTCTCTCTCCATCTGGTAAAACAATGAATCTACTATTATCTTCATTTTTAATTTTTAAAATATGTTTTCAAAGTGTAAGCTGTTTTAATTAAACGTTTTATATTTGTTACAGTATGTCAATTTCAGGATTCTCTTTCATGGTCTCAATTGGCTTCAATGCGGCTGTAAGGTAATCAGAATTTCTTGATTTTTTTTCCAAAAAATTGACCAATATTACTGAAATTATATTAAACCTTTAGATTTTATTTTATTTTCTATAAAAAAATATTACAGTGTAAGGACAAGTAATGAGCTTGGAGCAGAACATCCAAAGTCGGCGATGTTCTCTTCATGGATGGCGACTTGTGTCTCCTTCGTGATATCTCTCTTGGAGGCGCTCGTCCTGATGGCATCTCGTGACTACGTCGGCTACATTTTCACGTCGGATGCTGAGGTGGCTAAGGCCGTCTCTGACCTCTGTCCTTTTCTGGCCCTTACCATCCTTCTCAACGGAATTCAGCCAGTCTTATCCGGTATATACGTGCAATTCAGTTTTAGCTAAATCCAGAGAAACCCGGTGTGTGTACCGACTGGACCAGAATCAATCTCAAATTGGTATGTGTTTGTAGGAGTGGCAGTGGGATGCGGATGGCAGTCATTTGTGGCATATGTGAATGTTGGTTGTTACTATGTTGTTGGTATTCCCGTTGGTTGTATTCTCGGGTTTACTTTCAATTTGCAAGCCAAGGTTCGTTTTTAACATTTTCTGTATAATATATGTGTTTGTCTGTATAGTAAGATCAATTTTTATGTGAAATTTTGGTGATAGGGAATATGGACGGGGATGATTGGAGGTACGCTCATGCAAACCCTCATCTTACTTTACGTTACGTATCGAACGGACTGGGATCAAGAGGTACGTGTTACATGATATCAAGTCACGTCGTATTGATTTAAAATTATATGCTATAAAGTTCTGATTTGGTTGCGTTGAAATTATATTACTGTCATATAATGACTTAGGTGAAAAAGGCGAGAAAACGTTTGGATATGTGGGATGAAAAGAATCAGCCACTCCTAAGCTAAATTGAAAAGGATGTTTGCTAGGTACATGAATTGTGAAGAATTTATGGTTCGTTAATTTCAACTATAATAATGTATGGATTAACTAATGTATGGTGACATGCTCCAACAACTGAATGTTGTAAACCATTATCTTTTGATCTTGTCAGGTTTTCATTTACCAGCGCAAAATTCATTAACTAAGGCTAAAGTTATATTAAGAAACGTTGAATCGATTTTAACCTGATTCTTTAGAACTATGTGATAATGTGAATCAGACTTACATTAATAATGAAAATTCATCTGATTCTCATGAAATCAATTTGAGACTGTGTTTCAATATGATTTTCATACAAAGGGATCATTAGACAAATTATTAAAGATAATCGGTCCTCAGCTAAAGCCCTGAAAGTTCTAGCTTTAGCATTTAGGTATCAAAATTATGATATATATATGTATTAACAAAAAAAATATTTATTAAATAGTGAAAGGGTAATACAAATAATCAACCAACCAAGGAGGTGGTATATTAAAATAACACTAAGACCCATTTAAAGGCTTCTTTAGCAATTACGTCTGCTGCTAAATTTCTTTCCCTGTGGACACAAGCGAAAGAGCATTCTGGTAATCGAGACATCCAATTCCTCAGATCAAATAGCACAATTCCTATCTCCTGGAGGTACTCTCATGCAAACACTCATCTTGCTTATGTTACCTATCAACCAGATTGGGATAAAGATGTAATTGTTACGTGATATCAAGTCAAGTCATATTGATTTAAAATCATGCTTTATAAAGTTTTGATTTGGATGTGTTGAAAATTGAACTTATATTATTTGTCATGTCATATAATGATTTAGGTGAGAAAGACGAGAAACATTTGGATATGTGGGGTGACAATCACCACTCCTAAGCTAAATTGAAAAGATGTTTGCGAGGTACATGGATTGTGAATGATATAGGGTTCGTTAATTCACAATAATAATGTATTTTAAACCACATTATGGAATAACTAATGTATATATATGGTGACAGGACCAACAACTGAATATATATGTCGTCAACCATTTTCCTTTGATCTTGTCAGGTTTTCATTTACCAGCGCGAAAATAATTAACTAGGGCTAAAGTTATACTAATCTGTTGAATCGATTTGACCTGATTCTTAGAACGACGTGTTTCAAATCGATTAAGTAACTAGCAGATTAGATTAATAAAGAAATTTCCTTTGATTCTCATGAAACCAATTTACTGTAATTCAATTTGATTTTCATACAAAGGGATCATTAAGCATATTAAAGCAAACCCATCCTCAACTAAAGATCTTAAAATTCTAGCTTTAGGTATCAAATTATATTATATACACCAGTGGTTGGCCCGCCCTGGTGAATAACAATAAAATATAATATTATTACGAAGCCGACGGATAATTAAAATAAATTTTATTATTATTTAAAATAATTACTAAATTAAACTATATTTATTTTAAGGGAAATTTTATTAAAAATATTTAAATCAAATTTCGTTATTAATTTTAATACCTTAACATTTTTTGCTACCTAGTTTAGCCGCAGCTATATAATTATGTTTTTCAGTTTAATACTATGTCCATTTTAATTAGTTTTCAAAGTTTAAACGTTTTTTTTATTATTAATTTGGAGGTATCCCAGACCCATGGAAGGCTAATACCTAAAGGAGAGGTGCAGTCCACGAATAGACCCTCCGAATATTCAAATGACATAATAAACATTTTTACACTAATTATTTTTTCACTGTAATAAATTAATCCCACCCCACACTTATTAGTCAGTTGAAACTGTAAGAGTATGAAAAATAGTAAATAATATTTTAAAAAACCATATAAATATTTTCAGTGACATAATAAATATTCATTATTGACCAAAATGATGTTTTAGAACATATGTTTGTTTTTAGTCTATATTATATTCTCAATTATAAATTAATAAAAGTTAAGGGTCTAACAAAAACCACATATGATTGTTTTCAGAATTCTGAGTCATTCTTCTTCAGCGATTAAAACTAAAAGAAGTGCCTTAGTGCTTTTATTGTTTCTGGTTTATACTGAGTGATAGCATTCACTCCTATCTCATCAAATATCTCATCAAATGATCATCAAGAATGATCATTTTCTTTTTGACCAAAAAGACATAGTAAATAAGAATGATAGAGACTATGAAGTACGAAGTCCATAAGTGTTTGGAGGAAAATAGGCGATTTTGGCGACGTTTTTTCACGATGGATGCGACGGATCCTCCGGGGTCTTCGACGGTGGATACGGTGGTTACGGTAAATCAAGGGCTACAGGGCGGACTCTCTGATTCAGGTATCTCCTCTAGAGATTCTGATTTGAAGATTCACGAAGGGAAATTGATTCTGGGAAACAAAAATGGTGACAATGAAAATGTCGAGACGGAAAGTAATCACTCTAGTACGGGGATTCTGGGGGGAAGCTCTGAAAAAGTTGAAAATGGAGATGGTGATAAGGTGGTTCGATCTGTTGTGGGGATACAAAGGGAAAACTCTGTGAATCCAAAAATTGGAGGTGTTGTTCCTGGGCGTTCTTCATGGGTGGAAGCTGCTCAGGATAAGAAGGTCATGAAGAAGTATGATATTGATATCATAGATAAAGAGGGGCTGAAGAGTGTGGAGATTCCAGATGAGGTTGTAGAGAAGGTGAATCATCTATGGGAGGATTTTCTAATTGGTAAGTTCTTGGATTCAGCTCCACATGTTGCGAAAGTTCATGCCACTGTGAACAGAATATGGAATCCGCGTGATGAGAAGAAGAATTTGATTGATGTTCATGTTGTTGATGAAACTACAATGAAGTTCAAAGTCCCGAATCCCATGATGCGATCCAGAATTCTTAAGAGGGGTATGTGGAGCATAGGGAATATACCTATGGTGGTTACTAAGTGGATTCCTGATGAAGTGAAGGAGAAGCCTGAGATAAAAGCTATTCCACTATGGGTTCACCTAAAAAATGTGCCTATGCACATGTACTCCTGGCAGGGATTGAGCTTCATTGCTAGTGCAGCGGGGTTCCCGGTTCGTCTTCACCTTGATACTGCTGCCTGCAAGAATTTCAAACTGGCAAAAATCTTTGTCAATGCAGATCTTACCAACGAGTTGACAACCAAGATAAATTTTACAAAAAATGGAGTCTCTTCGATGGTTGAGTTCATATATCCATGGTTGCCTCTGCGATGTAATACCTGTGGTAAGTGGGGACATACTGATAAAGTATGTGTCATCAACAAAAATGATGAGTCTGAAACTGAGAAACCCACAACAGTTACGGCTGTTGCTGATAGGGTCGATCAAAAGGGTATACCGGATGTAGTGCAAGTAACTGATGAGGTTACTGAGTTTGAAGTTGTTAAGAAGGATGAATCTAAAGACACTGCTGTTATAGCTTCACCAAATGAAACTCTTATTGATGCTGGAAAAGAGGTCGAAGAAGGTGAATTAGTTGCTAGCTGGAACAAGATATCAATAGGAAAGGGAAGCAGAGTCTTATCTCAGAAGTATGATCAGGAAAAGATTTTGACGCCATCTCGATACTCAGCTTTGCTTCATGTTGATGAAAACGGGGAGGGTATAAATCTGGATGAAAACGAGGAAGATCTAAGCGCAAGAGAGAAGACTGTTCAGGATATTAATGATGGGAAAAGTGATGCTGACAACATAGGCCCTGCTCTAAATGTAGAGGAAGACGGGGGAGATGCTAGTCCTACAATGAAGATGCTTTCCACTGAAAAGAGTATAGCTGGTGTTGATTTTTGGCCAGATTTAACTGCTAACAACTTAAGACCTTCCTTGCCAAGGAGATCAAAAGCTATGCATAAGTTTGTGTCAGAAAAAAGTATGCAAGGAGGAGGGCAGAGGAAACTTGGTAAGAGTAACAAAAACCCTTCTCAATGACTGGATTTTTCTGGAACATCAGAGGATTCAATCGTAAAACAAAGCAGGAAGTTGTAAGGGATTGGATTCAATCAAAGAATTTGGTTTTCGGAGGTATTTTGGAAAATAGAGTTCGGGAAAGTAAAGCTCAGGCAATCATGTCAACTATGTTCAATGGTTGGTAGTTCATCAGTAATTATGAATTTAGTCGTAAGGGAAGGATTTGGGTAATGTGGAATTCTCAGGTGTGCATTACACCGATATTCAAGTCTGATCAGATTATTTCAGTTTCAGTAAGAGTTGAGGGTGAAGAGGATTTTCTTTGCTCGTTTGTTTATGCTGAAAATACAGTTGAAGGTAGAAGAGAGCTATGGGATGATATAAATTTGCATCAAGATTCTCAATTTTTTCAGAATAAACAATGGATTATCATGGGAGACTACAATGAAATTCTTGAGGGTGATGAACACTCAAGCTATCAGGACTCGGGGATTATTAACAATGGAATGAGAGATTTTGAAGCTATTGTTCAGTATTGTAATCTGTCTGATATGGGAAGTCAGGGGCCTAAGTATACTTGGTGTAACCAAAGGGAAGAAGGTCTGATTTGTAAAAAGCTCGATAGATTTTTAGTAAATGATTGCTTGGTTAATAAACGTACGCAAGCTTATGGAGTGTTTGAAGCATGTGGATGTTCTGATCACCTTCGTGGCAGGTTTCATTTGAGAGCTGAGGCTGAGGTAAAAAAGGAAGCCTTTTAAGTTCACAAATGCGGTGATTGAAACAACTGAATTCTTAAAGGTTGTGGAAGGCTTCTGGAGTGAGAATCAACCTTTATTCCAGTCTACCTCTGCTCTCTTCAGGTTTTCTAAATATCTCAAAGCTTTAAAGCCTATGATTCGGAAATTGAGTAAAATGAAATTGGGGAATCTTTCGATGAGAGTTAAAGAGGCTTACATGGATCTTTGTGAGAAGCAAGAGAGGCTGTTAAAAGCTCCAAATCAAGACAATATTAAGGATGAGATTATTGCTGCTGAGAGATGGAACAGAATCTCTGCTATTGAGGAGAATATTTTAAAACAGAGGTCTAAGTTGCATTGGTTAAAACTTGGGGATGGAAACAATAAGGTTTTTCACAATGCTGCTAAGATTAGGGTGATGAGGAATACTATCCGTGAGATCAAGAATAAGGCTGGTGTGGTTGTCTCTTTTCAGGATAGGATCAAGCAGGAAGCTGAGAGATTTTTTTCGTGAGATCCTCACTTTTGTTCCTGATGACATTCGAAGTGTTTCTACTGAAGAGATAA